CGAAAGCTTCTGCTCTAATAAATTTGTTAGTCTCTAAGGTGCCACAAGTCCTCCTGAATAGTTATAGTTATTTTCAAATTACAGATTTTTTTACCGTTTTACTACAAAAGTCAAATCTTCCCCAGCATTTTCAGCTAGGTGCCTGGGGAAATTTAGTAACAAACTGACCATAGGTCTTAGTTGGTAGTGTCTATCACTTTTTCAGAATTTGTTTCACAATAGAATTTAACTATGAAAGGAGGAATATTAAGTTTTTTTAATAATTCTTACAGTAATTTAGTAATCACTCACTAGAAGCTTAACATTAAAATCTGTTTCCTTACTGAAATAACATTTCCTTAATTGCACATGCACACTGGTTTGTTATTGTTGGGTTATACATCAGTACTGGGCTGTTGGCAATATGTTATTTTTAGTGAAATAGTGCATTACATCATATTATTTTTATAAGCTATAAAGTATTACATGAATTTTGCAATCAGACACAACAAAACCAACAGAGGATATCTTGTTCTGCACTATTTTATCAGGTGAAATTTATTTTAAGACCATAACAATTAAATTGATATAGCTGAGGTTTGTAGTAGCTCTCTTTGAATAGTTTTTCAGTAAATTGTTCCACAGGATTATGATATGGTCCCCACACTGGGGATCCCTAGCAGGGACCCCTGAATCTTTGCAGAGTCTCACTGAACTCTATTGTACTAGCAACAGTCATGCAAGAATCAATAGTAGCAGATACTTATGCAGATTGAGGCACTTGGACTGTATGTTTAAAAGGGGATCTTTTAACATGGAATTTGGCAACTTTCACAATTGTTTTTAAAGGAACTGTGGCAGCTGCAGCAGGTCTCCACCCTGGACAGTGCATAATTAAAGTGAATGGAATTAACGTCAGCAAAGAGACTCATGCAAGTGTTATCGCCCACGTCACAGCCTGCAGGAAATACAAGCGTCCAATGCAGGTAGACAAGTTTACTGCTTATGGCCTCATTGCTCTATTCATTGTTTATTTTTGTTCTTTACATCCAGTTGTGGAGGGAATAAAGGGGAGGTGGCTAATTAAAATATAAAAACTGATGATTACTTAATATTTATTGCTGATACTCAAGGTCTCTTTAAGTTCTGCTTCAAAAAACTAAGCTTTTAACTAAATAGTTTTCTCATGTTATCTTTTTAAAGGATTATTTCCAGCAGTATTATAGCTCTGTGCAGAAAACACCATGAAATATATTCTCATCTGGATGGAGTGGAGTTTATACAGCTAGCTGTGTGCTCATGAGAACATAACACAAACAGTTGATCTTTTTCCTGACTTTTATTAACACTTAGCACATACAGAGCAGAGTGAATATATCCTGTCTGTAAAAGTCTCTCTACACTTCCATTACAGTGCAGTGTTAGAAAATAAATATTATTTCAAGGATTCTGAGTTTCCTTTTTTTAATATGAGCAAATAAATTATTATTGCTTTTAGTTTAGAAAGAAAATTGAATTTCCACAGTAATTGTCATGATAAAACAAAACAGCTGGATTCAGTAATGTAATCTTTCCACGTTCTTGGAAGTTCTTCATAAACTGTGAACCAGTTAATTAACTTCACAATGTCTTTCAGTGAGCGTTGAAATCCAATTAAAACTAAATGTGAAATCCTCCTTTCAGACCTACTGAACAGATATGAGATAAGCAGCAGAAATAGGGGGTTGTTTCAACTGCATTATGCAAATACTGCTTCATGAAAATGTTTCTTTGGATTTCTTTGTGCTCCATTACAGAATTGAGGCAGTTATCTCTGAATTCTGGTCAAAGGGTTATTTTTACTCCCAGATACAGTAGCATGGATTCTTTTGCCCTAAACTGGCTAAATTAAAGGAATAAAAAATACTTTATACCTGAGGTGGTTTCACAGATGTGGATTTGCTATGGAGATGGGTGGGCATCCAGAAAAGGAGAACTTAAAAATTGACTGCTTGCATGCCTATCATTAGGTGAACAATTACTGCAACTGGATGTGAATTCCATTAAAAGTTGTTTGGTATATCACAAAATATATATTCTTCTTCCAACATACAGCATTTTCTGGTGTTTAAAGGGAAACTCATCTGGCTCAGAGCAGCATGCTGAAATTTCCAGAGACAAATCTCTACAGTCTGAGGGCTGTAATACTTTGGTTTAATTTTGGTTGTTGGATTTATTGTTTGGGTGCTGAGGGGTGCTAGTGGCCTGTGATATACAGGAGGTCAGACTAGATGATCTGGCAGTCCTTTTATATAGCACTCTTGGAAAACCTGGGTAAGGATAATATATTTTGGAATAGTCTTTTGTGTTAACTTTAGTGATCTTTCTGGTTTCTGATGCATCACGCTGCAATGTTAGTGACTTTCCTGGCTAGCAGTACTTCAGCACAGGGGCATCCATTATCATTTGTTTTAGTGTGTCAAATGCTTGCTGTTGGGGACCTTCCCAGTCCCTCTCAACATCCTGCCTTGTGAGCTAATGGATGGGTTTCAGTACTGTAGTCAGGTGTAGACAAAACATGGACAGAAAATTTATCTTTGCTGTGGAACCTTTTCACGTCCACTGGCGCTAGCATGTCTCTGACTGCCTTGGTCTTGTTGAGATCTGCGTTTGGTCCCTCTACTATGAGTAAATGTATATGTATATTCTCATGCTGTTTGAGTCACACTTTTTCTAGGTTCAGTTTTATGTTCTTGTCTCTGCATTGCTGTAGAAACTTGCATTTTTCTGTCATACTCTTGTTCAGCTTCTGTATCATTGCTCCCTTCACCCATAATGAGGATATCATCTGCAATTATTTTCACCCCAGACAACCTTTCCAGTGCTTGGGTGAGTCTTCTCTGGAACATCTCTGGGGCTGGGATCATGCCCATCGGCTTGCACAGCCATCTGCAGGGACAAAATGATGTTGCAAAGGTTGTCAGCATACTGGACTCATATCCAGCCTTATATGTCAAAACTCATCCATCACATTAGAGACTACAAAAATTCTGGCTTTGGAAAGTTCTACCAAGAGGTTATCAATTGTGGGAAGTGGATAAAGGGACAATGCCTTGTTCACAGGGCTGGCTCCAGACTCCAGCCCACCAAGCTTGTGCTTGGGGCAGCACCTGGAGGGGGGCGGCGCAGCACGGCACTCCGGCTCCGGCTGCCGGGGAGAGCGGAGCCGTAGTGGGCTTGCTGCCCTCCCCCAGCGCTCTGGCCACCGGAGAGAGCGGAGCCGCGGCGGGCTCGCCACCCTCCCCCTGGTGCTCTGGCTGCCGGGGAGAGCGGAGCCCCGGCCGGGCTCTCCACCCTTCCCCCGGCGCTCCGGCTGGTTGGGGAGAGCGGCCCATGGCCAGGCTTGGCGCCCTCCCCTGCCACGCTCCGGGGGGCGGGGGGCGGCGGGCGGCGGGCGGCGGGAGGCTTTTTTGCCTGGGGCGGCCAGAGCCGGCCCTGCTTGTTCAGTGGCTTTAGGTCTATGCAGATATGTAATTTTACCGATGGCTTCTTTACCATTGCCATGCTTCTTACCCAGCCTATACTGGCCTCTACTGGTGCTATGATATGCCTGCGCTGCAGACTTTCATGCTCCTTGAGTATTGGATTACATAGTGCCACTGGAATTTTCCTTCATGGTAAACTCAAAGGTTCCACTGTGGGTCTATTTCCTGTTGAAGCTTTCCTTTGAGGCACCCATTGCCTTTAAAAACATCCCTACATTCTTTTAAAATGGTCTCCATTGTCCATGGGATTTCCCTTTTTGCTTCTTGCACTCTAGCTATACAATTCTGATGCTGCACCTGATCCAACCTGTGGCTTGTATGGCTGTATTCCCCAAGAGGGGTCGATGGTGTTTATCATCCTCCACCACCACAAACTTCTGTTGGTATCATCTGTTATTTTTTGAATTAGTGATTATGAGGTCACATTTTCCTATGGACAGCATTAATCTCACATTGTACGTTATTAGATTGTGTCTGCTCTCTGTGAAAGGTATGTTTGATCATATTGCAGGAGGCCCCGCTATTCAGCTGAAATTGCATAGGGTGTTTCCCTATTAACACTCTTGCATTCATAGAGGTTGGCATTGTCCCTTGTTGCTATCTTGTCCCAACAGCTTGAACATAATATGCGGTCAGACTCAAGGAGAGAATAATGATGTTATCAACACTGTCTGATGTGCCATCTCCCTCTTGTACACATCTGATTGAATTTTTCTGGTACCGTTCTCTGCTCTTGTACACATTGGTAAAATGATTCAACTTGCCACATTCCTTGCAATGTTGTCCTAGTGTATGGCACTTCTCATTGAGCCGCCCATGCTGTCTTCCACAGCTAGTGCCCCTCACTATGTGTATGGAACCCTGGCTACTTGCTCTCCTGTGCTCTTGACTGCATATACTTGTGGAGTTGTTGTGCCTCCTAGGGCTCTCATCTTTTCACTTGAGGCTTCTGCTCCCCATCTGTCCAATGTGAGAGTGCCTTTCCAGAGCAGCCACTCTTTCAGAAGGTCATCCCAAGTGCCACAGACTGTCCTTTCCCAAATCAGGAATTCTGTCAAGTCTTCAAAATTGCACGTAGTAGCCACTGTGTATAAGGCAGAAATATAGGGATCTAGCCATTTAGGGTGACCAGCTAGCAAGTGTGAAAAATCGGGACAGGGGATGGTGCTTTTGTACAGTTTGGTCTTGCAGCTTTGACAAGTTGTAAAGTTGTGTAATTGAATAATTGTATTGGCTATCCTGTGAAATGTGCAGTATTTGGTAACATAAAGAGCTGTATGTTGTTTACCTTTTTTGTATTTTTTATTGTTTCTTTATGAAAATCAATAAAAGTTTCATAAAATTTTAAGCATCCTTAATGACATATAAATAGTTCAGAGTAAAAGGTAAAAAAGATTCAAATGTGGGTTTATCTAGAGAGAAAATATGTCTTAATCCTTCAGGATATTATACTAACCATTACTTTGCAGATGATTGTATTTTACCTTAACCAAGCACAACCTGCTTTAACAGTTTGTATAGAAGACATACTCAAGTTTAACTCTTGGCATCCTTGCTTAACTTTCATTTCATCCCACTCTTTCCTCTTTACAGGCTGTGATTTGAGTTCAGTCACAATGCAGGAATATTTTTGTCATTTATTCTGCTATAGTAATTGGAGGGTGAGAGATTGATAGGTACATTGCATGTCAACTATGGGGGTGAGAAGGGTGTTCTGCCAACTCCATACAGTATTTGATTAGCATAATACATTATTAAATATATTGAAATATTAATTAGAGCTCAAAGTATCTGATTATGCACCTCCCACTGCTGGATACAAGTAAGATCAAGTTTTGTGCAACACTTCTGAGGAAAAAACGTCTGATCTGCATGGAATAGAGGCAATTCTATACTGAGTATAGGCATAAGGATTCCTACAGACACCACCAGTGGAGTTCTCCAGGTGCACATAATGCAAAGTGGGAGTGGTTTAGAGGCAAAGCGAATGTGTTATGCCCCCATGGCTGGTGTTCAACAATCAATGCAAGCTCCAGTAGGTGTGCAGCAGGTTTAGTGAGATAGAAGTTGGTTCTGTTGTTTTTATAGCTTCCTGTCATAATAAGGTTTTCAGGGTATTAAAACAACTTGTTTTAGGTATGCATTAAGGACATTTTTATTGACACACAAAACGAAGTGTAGCAATACTGCATACACTGTTTAAACAAATGAACTGATGAAATCTCTGTTATTGGTACAGTATGTTTCTCTACAGCTGGTTTTAGATAAAATCAATCTCACTCCTCTGTCATTTCCAATGTTATTGTTTGTTTTCAAAATGAAGTGCAGATAGTAATTGATAAACATCCTGTTGAGGTAGGGAATTGAAATAACTATTTCCTGTTTGAAAGCACTGAAATGAGACCGCTTTGATGATGCATGCAATTTTTTTTCTTTTATAGCAAGATTCCATACAGTGGGTATATAACAGTATAGAGAGTGCACAGGAAGACCTTCAGAAAGCGAACTCTAAACCCCCTGGAGATGAGGGAGGAGATGCCTTTGACTGCAAAGTGGAAGGTGTGATCTTTATTTTTTGCATGTCATCCTTTAGAATTTCTTCCTGTTAGCAAGGAACATAGAAATTTCTTCTTCCCACTAGGGAAACTGAAAGCAGACTACAGGTTTTAATTTACATAAGGATTTATATGCAATTGCATAGCTGACACAGAGGAGAATTAAAAATACCATCACCCTATAATACTGTGTGAATTAGCTGAACAGTTCCTTGGATCCATGAGAAATTTTGTAGTATCGCACTTTCATTAAAATCTCATTCATTTGCATTCATAGGACATCTTATCCTATAAATTATCTGGATAAAATTCACAAATAATAAAATAATTTAAGGGGAATTAAAATTAATTCAAAGCTCTATTGGATCACAAATAATGAGTCACATGTTCTTCAGGATACTTTTCAGGCAAAAGTTATGAGTCTACGAGGATGATTGAGAAAATGCTTAATAGCTGACTTTCAATTAATTTCTCTGGGCAAATGCTGCCCTCAGAGTTGTATGTGTGTCTCTGGAGCAAGCATTCAGTGGGGAAGCTCAGTGGTTTGAGCATTGGCCTGCTAAACTTAGGCTTGTGAGCTCAATCCTTGAGGGGGCTACTTAGAGATCTGGGACAAAAATCTGTCTGGGGATTGGTCCTGCTTTGAGCAGGGGGTTGGACTAGATGACCTTCCAACCCTGATATTTTACAGTTTAAACAAGGGTTTTCAAACTTTCCATTCCTATTTGTTGCTACATCTCCAGCTTGTAAGAAAAGCAGAATGTCTCCCTTTACAACCAATAGGTTGTGTCATCGGATATTCCAGCAGGCTTTCTCACACTTCATCTGACCCAAGCTTTAGTCAGCCCCGGACCTGAGTTTTTCTGAGTTTGTCACCTAGTCACCTTGGGATTTCTTGATGTTCATTTCAATAGAAATTATCAAAACATCGCTACTTCCATAGGGTCTGCAGTGATTGTTCTTTTATTTTGATTTAGGTCTGAAGCGGCCAAAACAAAACTAACTATTAATTTTCTTTGCTGTAGAAGTAATTGACAAGTTTAACACAATGGCAATAATTGATGGGAGGAAGGATCATGTGAGTCTCACTGTTGATAATGTTCATCTGGAATATGGAGTGGTTTATGAGTATGACAGTACGGCTGGAATAAAATGCCATGTGGTGGAGAAAATGATTGAACCAAAGGGCTTTTTCAGCTTGACTGCAAAGGTATGAGGCCTATGTAGAAAAATTACATTTTTATGTATATTAATTTTGTATTACACTTAATTCCACTGAAGTCACATCTATCCGTTATTGATTGAGAGGGACATCTGGTTTATTTCATGTCTAATATTTGCAGGTCACCTTTGTCCCGCTGATATTTTGAATCATGACTATGTACTCAGTAAGCAAAATAAGTTATGTTGTGGTCATAAATTGAACATCTCAACTCAACAAATGCCAAAGAATTCCCTTTTTTGCTATCAAAAAAACTTCAAAGAAGTTCAGAGACTTATTGTAATTGAACCTCAAAACATTTTGAAGTGTCAGGATATGAAGTGTCACATAAAAAATATTCAAGACTCCATTTTCAAATGGTCTGTAACCTGACCTCCAAAACTGCAGGTACAACTTTCTGAACTTAAGTTTCTGTGCATACACAAAAGTAGCAAGGTGCATTGCTGGGTTTTTTTGCATATTATCTCCCTCCGAATAGACACAGGAAAATGCATCTGCAAAAACATAGATTAGGAAAATGTTGCACAAAAATTTTGAGGCTACTCTGGAAATTTTCATCTGAATACTTCCAAAGCTGCAAAAGTGGGACTTCTTATTAATAACATGGGAAAGATGTCTTAATTAGAGTTGTTGCATTTTACATCTAACTATTAATTATCAAGTATCAGGGGGTAGCCGTGTTAGTCTGTATCTACAAAAACAACAAGGAGTCTGGTGGCACCTTAAAGACTAATAGATTTATTTGGGCATAAGCTTTCATGGGTAAAAACCTATGCATCTGAAGAAGTGAGGTTTTTACCCACGAAAGCTTATGCCCAAATAAATCTGTTAGTCTTTAAGGTGCCACCAGACTCCTTATTAATTATCAATTCATGTAGGAATATAGCTTTTTATTAATTCCTGTTTCATCACTTACACAGTTACAGGCAAGGATAAATAAAAATTAAAGCCAAAACTTTGTAGAGTGAATTCAGTTTCTGCAGGTTATCTTTTCATTGATTAAATCATTGAACCATAGGGATGTTATTACTTGCTCTAATAATACAGTATGTAGAAGTGTTTGTAATTTAAATATTTTTTACTAATCTTATATTTTTAGGATTAATTTTTCCACTGCCATACTCTGACTATTTGTAAGAAAACTAGAGCTTCCAGAACACTGACTTTTGGCCTCAATTAGTACAACTACCTTATACTAAGTCAAGCCAGTTCAGGAATTGGTTGCAGATCTTCAAGGAACACCTAGGTGCTGCAGAAAGTGGTGCTGGTTAATCATTGTGTCTGTCTTCCCTCTAAAGATACATCTAAATTAAGATGGGATGTAGACTATAGACACTGCCTGCCCAGCTAGCACAGGTCTAAATAGCAGTGTAGACAGTGAAGCACGGCTTAGGCAAGTAGAGTACCCTGCATACCTGAACCCTATGGTATATACCCTACGCTACGGGACTCTGTACAGGTCTGTCACATCTTACGCGCATTTAACATGCGCGATTTCAGCTTTACGCGGTCGGCAAAAACAAAAAGGGAAAAATAACAAATAACAATACTGTACCTGTAGTGCGGTCGATTTCTCCCACCATTCAACTCAATGTAATTTTGACTATACGCGGTTTTCGCTTTACGCGCTAACTGTGGAACGGAACCCCTGCGTAAGATGAGACTCGCCTGTATATGCTCAAGCAGTGCCTCCCACATCTGAGCTGATATTTTTAACAGTGTATTGTCCTGCTGCCTCCCCCTGGTTGAGCCTTTCCTTATTGCCTCCCTGCTGTTGGAGCATTTCACTGCCACTTGTAGCTTGATGCCACAGTGAAAAATGTGGATGCAGTCTGCCTTTTACTGTGGCACGTAGTTACATGTATAGTGCCTGTATTCTACTTGCTGCCATAAGTGTAGATATAGTCTAAGTCAGTACTGACCACTGTCTCATTATGGTATCCGGAATCACTGTGCTACTGCAAAAACTGGGCTTGATTCTTAACTGGACTGCATCTTGTGTAATTGTTTACACTAGTGCAAAATGGGTGTATAACATTACAAAGTCAGAATGGTAGCATTTTACATCCGCTTTACACTGATGTGAATGACTACACCAAGTGTAGGTTAATGGAGAATCAGACCCCCCACTGTCTTTCATGTGGGATATTAAACAGAGATTATGGTAGTTAAAAATGTCATGGCACTTGATTCAATCCCAACTTGAAATTTCAGAAGGTGGTTTCACATTCTACTAACCTAAATTCCTCTGCACTTGCAGTTGGATATAATACTTTTCTTCATTTTCTTCCTTGTGTTGCTTTGCAGTATTAAATAGTTGTATATTCCTTGTCAAAGGCAGCTATGATTCAGTAGGGTGGGGAAGGGGCCCTTCTGCATTGCTTTCCTACACTACGGAGGGATGAGGCTTAATTAGTGAAAGTTTGTAAAGCAGGTCAAGGTTCTCAAATGAATGATACTATAGTAGTGCAGAGTTTTACCGTTATTACATGTATAATGAAAAATGTGATCCAAAGCTGTTCTGCAGAAGACTTGGTACTGTTTTTAAATAAACTTCATTATAGCAATAGAAGAAGCAAAGTATTTTGAAGAAGAGTTTTGCATTATTAATTAGATCTGAGGAAACTGAAATTTTTTAATAATTTACTGACTGAATACAGTGAAAGAGTTGTACCTTAATGAATATGATGATTGTCATCTCATCTCATCTATGCTGAACAAATAGTAAAAATGACTGAGCTGAGTTCTCATGTACACTGATTTCGTGAGTCAGTATCACATAATCTGTCAACAGGTTAGTTTTATTATAAATGTTGTAACTGATAAGTCAGCATCCCATAATTTGTACACTTAATTGAAATAAATGCTGGCTAGCAGAAAATGTATTTCAAGAAAGACATAATGGTTACGTTAATAGTGATAGAACAAGTCCATAACCACATGTGGTCATGAAACGACTGTATGTAACTTGTATAGTTGGAGTTTCTATTACTAAGACAAGGAGTTACTAAAGGGAACCCTTTCCTCCCAAAGCATCATCCTTTCTAGTTACGCAGCATACCTAAAATGTTAAGGGACAATTGATTTTCAGGGTTTTTTTTGCTTGTAAATATCAGGACTGATAAGTAATGTTCATTTTAGTCATCTGACTTCATAATGTACTACCATTGTCTTTATTACTACAGATTCTTGAAGCACTGGCTAAAAGTGATGAGCATTTTGTGCAAAACTGCAACAGCCTGAATTCTTTAAATGAAGTAATCCCCACTGACCTCCAAAGTAGATTCAGTGTAATTTGCAGCGAGAAAATTGAGCATATCTACCGAAGAATCTCTAGTTATAAAAAGGTATGGATCAGAAAATGTCTTGAAAATCTGCTATTTCCTTGTTGTGGAAGAACCAACAAAAAATAATGAATTTGAATGTCTATTAAACATTTTGGTTGCAATGACAAAACTGGCGGTTAAATTTGACCCACCCAGATGCCTGAGTACCGAGTGATTGCATAATTATATTGTGATGGGGTGTATAAACCCCACACTGATGAGGAAGGTGCCAGTAATGCTGTGCGGGCAGGGCTAGTTCCACCCCTCCTGTATGATATCATGTATGATAGGCAGGAGGCCTTTAAAATGGAGGAAACTGCAGTCAGCTGGGTTGGAAGGAGCAGGACTGCTCTAGGTAAAAGACTGCTGTAGTGACTCCTGGAGCCACCAGAGGAACACCCATCTGAGAGATCTTCACCCCCACCCTACCAGGGAGTGCGGTGAGCTCCCAGGGAAAGACTTAAGGCTTGCAAGGGGCAGGGGCCCCTTGTAACCAGTAAGGAACTAGGGCCTGTGCTGGAGCCACCCACTGCAAGTAACTGGGAGTGGTCAGGTTTTCCCAGCATCAGGGAGAAAAACCTCAGGAAGTCCTTTAAATATACATGTGCCCTTCATTATGCCTTTCATTCATGGGATAGGTCTTATCCTCTCTTCGTCATGTTGAACATATAGATAGTAACCAGCTTGATAACCAGAAATTCTGTGTATTTCCAATGAAAGACCAAACACTCTGTTTCACAGCATTCATAAATCTAGTGAATTTTCAGAACTTACCCGAAGTGAAGTGATATTAGTGATATTAAATTCTTCTCATATTGCATGTTAATTTAAAATATAAAGTTGTTATAAGTTAACTCCTCACCTGCAGACTGTAGTTTGAGTCAACCCTTTTCACTTTTACTACTGACAGACTGCACTGTAAATTATCAGACAACTGTTAGCTAATTGTCGAGTTTGTAAAAATGGCAAAAAGTGTATTGCATATTGTAAGGAAATGAGTGAACACATTTCTTGAGTTTGGTCTGCAGTTTCACTCTACTTCTGTGTGACTAGTTTAACTAAGCTAAGCATAAACTAATCAAACTTTTGCCCATTTCCCCCAAGTGAACCTGCATTTCTCTCCTCCTGACCCCTAGTTTCCTCCCTCCGCTACCCCAATTATTTGTGAATTGTGGGGCCAGTCTGAACTAGGTCTGATACCTCTCCTTTGAACTGTTTGCACCCTCTGTCATCTGGATCTAGGATGTGAGATTTGCAAACTGGTCTGTTGTGGGATTTTGCAAGAGAAATTTCAAAATAGAGGTGAGAGGTTTAATGTGGACTCTAACAGACCCTGCATATGAAAATTGGAGGAGGGATGGGACAGAGGTCGGGAGCGGAGGAGTTGCTTCCTAGACAGTAATGACCCTTTCTTGGGGTATGTCAGCAGCTAGGAGGGTGCTCCCTAATGAAAGTGAACAGCCCTTGTCCAGCTTGAGCTAGCACATTAAATACAGCAGTGTGGCTGCGGTGACATAGGTGGTGACTTGGGCCACCTGCCCAAATACAATCCTGCCAAACTCCCTGAGTACATATGTGGGTGGCTAGCCCAGGCTGCCACCAAAGCTGCTGTAGTCACATTACTATTTTTAGCATACCAGCTCGAGCAGAGCCACAGTGTGTCTGTCTACCCAAACTAGGAAGCATCCTCCAAGCTGCTGGGTAGACATACCTCTAGAGATTTTGGCCAGTATAAGTCTAAACATCCAGACTTTCATATGTCTACTAAAGTGAACCTCGGATTTCTTGAGATGGGAGCATCACTTATTTTAACCATTCAGTCGGAAATGTTCTTTAGAGGTTAGGTAACTAATAGCTGTCTCATATACCTTTCCTGTTTTCTACTGTGAACTGAGTATGATGCATAGTCTTTATGAACAAGAGTGCCTGGCAAGAACAGCAAGAGTTTGAGTCTAGGTTGAAGTACAATGGCACAGCCACGTTAGAAAATGTCACAGAACCTTTAATTGCAATATCTGCTTCTAGCCAGTGTGATCCACACTTTCAGAAGCCTCAAACTCACCCTCACCAAAATCAATAAGTATGATGCAGGTTCACAGTTTAGCTCTCAATGACTGTTAGAAACACTGTTGGAGTGTTCATATTCCAGGAATAGATATGCCCTTCTTTTGGCAAGGTAAAAGTAACCATAGTAACAAAAGTCTCTCAGAATGCCTTAGCTTTACTGTAAATTTCACTGTGAAAGTTTGAACTCTATAAATAGAAACCCAGTGGCTTTCTGCAGTTCCTGTTATTTCAGAATATTTTGCTTGTAATACACTTTGAGTTCAGTGCCATGGGCCCCAGATGTTTCTCAATACATGTATGAGAAGAAGTTTGGACTTGACTTATGACCTGATTAAATCATAACCAGGCATTTGGTCTCTGTGGAACAGGATGTGTGGGAGATTCAAATATGAAATATGTACTGCTTGGAGGAACATTTTTACCATTAGATATTCTTAGTGCCTTCTTAATTCTTGGTACATTCTTCAGTTTTAAACAATTCCATAATTGGACTTCGTGTAATCTCCAGGATCCTGTCCTAGATACAAATATTTAAGTATAATTCATTAGTTGAATCCTGGTTGTACAGAAATGTTTATCAAGCTTACACAGAGTCAGTAGCATCACAAGTAAACACATGTTTAAATCCCAATACATAAAGCTACCACTTTATGGGCGGTGCGGGAGGGGATATAGCTTGACTCAGTTAAAAGATACTTAAAGCCAGATAATCAGTGAAATGTACATGGACATTTAATTGGGTAAGCACTTGGAAAGGTAACTTTTAAAAAAATATTCTGATGCATGAACCTAATGATCAGCGTTGTTTAATAAGGTATGTGCCCTGTTATGTAATATTTTAACTGGAGATGAGATGTGATTAAAATACCAACTACTTGCAGGTGATGATGAATGTTCCCATTAAAATCTCCCCTGATTCCAGACTGTGAATTGAAAGGGGAGATACATGTTTTCACATAAACCCTAATCCAGTTGTGTTTCACATCATGTGGTCACCTAATCTAAGATTTTATAATGGTCTTGTCATCATGATTATGATCTAATTCTCTGAAGTAACACTTCTTGGGAAACGGGACAAGAATAGTTACAGGAATGAACATAAGAAGAAATCTTCATTGATTCAGAGGAACACTGTAGAAGTAAAATAGATGTACTGCCTGTGGGTCAATAAACGTCCCTGCACTATTTCAATCTAATTTTTCAAAGATTTATTTCTTAGAAGTCTATGCCTTATTTAACCAGTACTTCAGTTTTCAAAGTTGAGACATTTTCTAATTCCCAAGTGTAGCAAAGTTTGTAAAATATCAAAGGGGTAGCCGTGTTAGTCTGGATCTGTAAAAGCAGCAAAGAGTCCTGTGGCACCTTATAGACTAACAAACGTATAGGAGCATGAGATTTCATGGGTGAATTCCAAGAAGTGGGTATAAGGTGCCACAGGACTCTTTGCTGCTTTTGTAAAATATGGAGATTGTAGTTTATTTTACTGCAATTTTGCAGCAACTTCATTCTCAATGTGATAAATTCATAATTTTAGCTTCCAGTTTTATATTTATTAGAAACTAAACTAAAGCAAATCTCTGAGAGTGTTTTTAGATAATACACACTTGAAAATACCGGAAATTTGCTATGTTTGTAGTTTGGGACCTCTCATACTTTCTGGAGCTCATCCTCAGAAGCACAGGACTTCAAATGAGTCTAATATTGAGACATTTGACAGAAAATAAATGGGTTAAATCCTTAATATAAATCTATTTCTAATTTGCAAAAATTACCCATAATTTGTTTTAAAAATAAAAACCTAAAATCAGAAAGAACTCCTCACCTCCTCCCAAAAAATGGAAATTTGAAAGGTTAGGTAGAATGCCTAAAGCATTTTTAAGCTTTGTTTTCCAACTGGCTACCTATGCACAGAAAACTATTAATCAGAACTTTCTTCTCTTTCTTACTTCTAGTTTTCACGAGTGTTAAAAAATAGAGCATGGCCTACCTTTAAACAGGCCAAGTCAAAGATCTCACCACTTCACAGCAGCGATTTCTGTCCAACCAACTGCCATATCAATGTAATGGAAGTCTCTTATCCTAAAACCTCAACTTCTCTTGGTAGTGCCTTTGGTGTGCAGCTAGACAGCAGAAAGCATTCTTCACATGAGAAAGAAAACAAAAATAGTGAGCAAGGTAAGCCAGAATGCCCACCTAAACTTGAACGAAGAATATCTACCAACTCTCCTAGTTTATAGTTTTCAGATTTAACCAGTTTTGGACACTGTCTCAATATTAAACATAAGGACACTCCACTAAGAAATGGCTATATATTGTTAGTATGGATTTGCTTATAAATTTATAAGAAAATCTTGACATAATTATGTACTAACTCTTTCCTTTGTGTTACATTACATGGCACATTAACATGCAGAATTATATAGCCTTCCTCTTTAACAAGAACAGATCAACTAATTTTTCCACGTTTATACTTCCAACATTGAATTTGTAAGATAAAATATGAAAAATTAATATTTTAATCAGGTAATTATTTCCCGTTATAGATTTGACTTTTAAAAGTAATTTGTGTTGAAAGATAGAAAATGTGAACTTGACTTTATTTGCATCACATGCAGGTAAACTGGGTCCCATGGTTTACATACAACATACCATTACCACCATGGCAGCCCCTTCAGGACATTCCCTAGGTCAACAGGAAGGCCATGGTCTGAGATATCTGTTAAAGGAAGAGGACTTAGAAACACAAGATGTCTATCAGAAATTGTTGGGCAAATTGCAAACTGCACTGAAAGAGGTGGAAACGTGTGTCTCTCAGATAGATGAGTAAGTAAATGATACTGTCTGTATATGCCTTTAATGTCCCATGGGATTAGGGTGACCAGATAGCAACTGTGAAAAAACGGGACAGGGAGTGGGGGATAATAGGCGCCTATATAAGAAAAAGTCCCAAAAAATGGGACTGTCCCTATAAAAACAGGACATCTGGTCACCCTACATGGGATATATTGATAAATCAAATGTGGGCATTCCAAACTATTGATGCATAAACTTGCCTGGTCTAATCTGAACCCATCTGAACGTTGTTGCATGAGATCAGCAGAAGCAGTCCCTGTTCATATTCAAGTAGAGCTACAATGGTCCAAAGAATTTAAGTGCAGGCAATTTTGAACTTTGTTCTTTCTTGCTCTCTTTTTTCTTTCTTTCTTTCTGAGCATGACATAGTTTCTACTTTGCTTCATTGAACCACTATAGCTTTTCTCTTGGCTGTGGAAACAGTAACTGTTTGGGGGGAAGAGGCAATATGAGATCCATGTCATCTCTCAGACTTCACTAGGAGAGAAAACAAGAGAAAAGGAACAAAAAATAATTTGTATTTAAATTTTATGGCACTACTGAGTGGCTTTAAATTTAAACCTAAATTTATAAAAATACAAATACTAGAAACTTTTTTTAACAAATAAATTAGGTTCGCTTAGTCAGCAAGAGCTACTATTTAATGATCTCCCAGGAGCAGAAATACTTGGGACTAGAACAGCTGCTTTCAAGACCAGTAAACTTTTCTAAGGCTTGGCCCTTGATCAGTGCTCAGGAAGAAAAATTATCAATACCTCCTTTGGAGGTAAGCAGTGATGTACATCTTGTTTCCAAACGGCTACTATGTGTTTTTTCTCCCCCCTAGATGTATGCTGTATAGTATACCAGGTTTGAAGTGGTTAAATGAAAGTAAATACAGCTTAGGGTTTGCAAAAGAATGTAAGAGATAAATCTCTACTCCCCATGTCTTTACACATAATTTAACTAATTAATTTAGCATATCAGAAATAAAATCTTTTCATTGCTGGATGAGCACAAAAATAAAGCAACAGCATTATAATGTCTTTAAATTGTCAGTCTTCTTTAAAGTTATAAAATGATCAATACGTTTTGTATTTGAAGGCTCAATTAATATTTCAGTAGTTTCTGGTTACTTAGGCTATCATTGGTTTCCCCCCTGCTCCCTAGAGTTTGCATAAAGCCTCAGGGACTTCTGAGCTTTCTTTCATACAAGCATGAATGTGCTATCTATAAGAATATATAAATTTTGTGGGTCACACAGTTGCAAACGTAAACAGTATACAAGAGTCTGGGTTAATATTTTTCTTCATTAACAGAGTCTCTGTAAATTGAACTGGTAGGAAAACCTATATAAGGTGCAAAGATTTATTTTAAAGGTTTTACACTTTACTGCCTATAAGCATCAGACTTTTCATCTTTATTCCCTGTGGACTTTGACTGCACTGCCAGAGTTTGATTGTCTTGGCGGAAAGTAGTTCTGTACAGGAAGCAGGATACCCAAGAGGCCTACTTAAAAGCTCCAAACAGGAAGAATGGGAAAGATGGAGGCCTGGATAGTCTGGGTGTGAACTGTTAATACAGTACACCATGTACTACTTACAACACAGTCATGACCATGAGTTCTTAGGGTGAAAGAGGGAATGTTAAGAAATAAAACACATAAAATAATACAAAATAATTAAATCACTCTGCTTGAATCAAAATGTGCGAATGTGTTCTTTAATAACCATGCATATATATATTTATGTACATTTAAACAAACTGATCCTTCCAGTTTACAACTACTGCAGAATTCCTGTTAATAGATTTGCTGTTATGGTGTAAAAATAAAATTAAAATCAATATTTGCTGAATTATTAATTATTTATTATTATTACTATGATTGGTTTCCAATGTACTAGGTTCTGTATAAACAGAAGATATTCAGGGGAAAAGTCTGTGTCACAGCAATTAATCTTAGGGATTGAGAATGCTATACAAAAAATGATCAAATGGTTTCTTTAGAGGATCTGGGTGAAATCCTGGCCTGTTGAAGTCAATGGCAAAACATTCATTAACTTCAACAGGGCCAGATTTCTTTCTGTGTGTGTGTGTGTGTGTGTGTGTGTGAGAGAGAGAGATTATGTTTAATAGATAGTAAAAATTATATGCTGCTAGTGGTACAGCAAATTAACATTATAGGGATAATGTACACTCGGATATTGTGCCTCTCAATGGATGATTTTGAAACCTTTGAAGAACTACTTAAATCTCTATCAGTTTCTGAGACAATATATTATTTATGTATGCTCAAAGATTTTATGGTTTTAACATTGAGTTAGTTTTTTAAATGTTGTGTTACACAGAATGACTAAAACTATTGTGTTAGCAGAATTCTGAGTGTGAAGGAAAATATGTTCATTCAGAAAAAATCACTTCCCTATATGGCAATCAGTCAGGGTGTGCTGAGTTTGTGGAACAAAAACTTTGCAGAACAGTTTGGAATTGCATTGATTTCAAGTAGATTATATTCATCAAAGCAGTGGAGAGATTAGTAGTTTGGTACTGATGTGGCTCTGTAGCTGAACAAAGTTATTAGGTGAGTTATTATCTTTTCATTAGTGTTTAGAATTGGTATATGCTACCTTCCTCAGTTAGACCTATGCAAATCTCACAAAACTGAATGTAAAAGTTTACAGTGCTTTAATCAGAAATGTCCTTTGTTAATTTTGATTGATAAAATGCCTTTAGCATCAGTGATTTATTGTGTAGATAGAGAGTGTAAAGAAGGGGAATTCTGTAAGCTACCTTTTAAAAACCAAAGAGGATATTTTCAGTCTCACGAATACAAGTGTTTTGCAGTTGCTCTTTAGATGTAAAGATATGATGTCACCTACACTTGTGCCCCTGACATATATTTGATCTTGGGTTAGAAGCAGAGCACTTGCCAACACTACCAAGCCAACCGTGGTGACAGCTGTTACTTAACAAACACAGTATAGGGATTCAAAGCTTTTAAACTATTTTTGAACATAGCCCGGCCACTGCTAATTTAAAAGATAGCTAGAAAGGACTTGTTGCAGAAGTCTAATGCTGCATCTAATTTTTTGTTCAGATGTTATTAATGTTAATCTTCCTTTGCAGTTTTGATTTTCAGTAACTAATAACATTGTGTGTATTCATTTTATCTTTCATAAAGTCTATTAGAACATGTGTTTCATGGGAAGAAGATGAATAACTATATAGTAGTATGACTTCATTGTGGTATTTGTACATGTTCAGGTATAAAAATTTCCACAGCTTTTGGGTGTCAGTTGATCACATCAAGTTTCAAATGGAGCTCTACGTAGAGGGTTCTGGATAAGTACAATAGAACTCTGTTTATCCGACCCTCCACTATCCAGCTCTCTGTATTAATTGAACAACCAGTACACACAGGTCCAGAAGTGAGTGATTTCTCCTCTGGCTGCTAGACGGCGCTGCAGCCTTGCGCCTTCTCATTCTCCAGATTATCTGAATTTTTGATTTATCCAATCTCACTCTAGTCCCAATTAGATCATATAAATGGAGTTCTGCTGTTATCAAATGAGTAAGGTATGATTCAGAGAGGTGCTGTTCATAAACATGATGGCACAACACTACCTAATTGGTCATGGCAAATCAAGTGACACATCACTTTATCTGACCAGTTATGGTGGTGTGGTCATTTGGAATGTTGATGAAGGTACAGACTTTAAAATAAAATTTCCCAGAACCTTTTATTAGAATAAGGCAGAATGACACATGAAAGCTAGTAATTTGGGTACCATAAGCATTTAGTAAGTAATTACCTGTTTTGCACAGAGAAATGTTTTCTGTGGTTAATTTACTAGTTTTGCATATGCAAATATATGGTTAAAGTTTATAATTAGTCACCAAAAGGACTTCAAGGATATAATATGGTAACTTTTTTTCCCCAAGAAGAAGAATTGGTTTATTGCACGACTTACTATTTTGTGTTGCTTTGATTGAAGCATGATTTTGACTCATTAAACTTTTGTTGCTCTTTTTTACAGTAGTGTCTTTTTTTTTTTTTGGCTTTAGTTGGCCATAATTTTACAATGGACATGAGTCTGAATTAAAAAATAGGTTTTGTGGCCTTTTCATAGGGAACAAAATAATGGAAAAGAACAACAGAGAAATGTAGTAATGCATGTTGGATGATGATGATAATTATCATCAGCTTACTTTTGAAAAAATGCATTCATCCCGATTAATTTTGTCACATTGCAGCCTTCTCTCTTCAATAACCTATTCTCCCAAATCAGAACGTAAAACACCTGAGCCCTTAATACCAGCAGAGAGTGACAATGAAAAGGGAGAAAGGAATGGGAAAAGGGTCTGTTTCAATGTAGCAGGTGATGAGCAGGAAGATTCTGGTCATGACACCATCAGCAACAGAGATTCATACAGGTAGTTTTACTAATAATCTTTTTTATTTCAATCTTTCGGATACAGCAGCATAATGTGCAGCATTGTAGATTTTCAAAATGGCTTTAAAGAATATCAAAATACAATGGTTATTACTTCTTGTAAAGGGAGAATTTTATATTTTAGTAATCAAGATGGATTATTTGGACTTTACCAGAACTCTGGATCTGAATATCCCCAGAGGAGCATAGCCAGAACTATGGATCCATTTGCCAGGTTCTGATTCAGTGTGCTGCAGAACATAGAAACAGACAGTTTTGGCTGTGGTGTTCTGTAGTGGAATTAGGCCCCAGCAAACCCCCAAATGTTTGTATTTTGAGTCAGTTTCCAGATCTAATCTCAATCACAGTTAAAGACCTGAATAAAAATCTGAACCCCAACATTTAACTCTGGTAACATCCCAGTCTAAACATTGCTGGATCATCCTATCTCTAGTACTAACAATAATAAAAGCTTTACTATGGAATTAAAATATATAATACTTTGAAAAAGAAGTAGTATTCATAGCAACTGTGAACATTTTCCGATACTTAGAATGAAGAATGGATTATGTAAATGCAGATGATGTATATTCAGTTTAACTTCAATTTGCAATTTAAACAGATTACTGGGGTCAAAAAGTAAAACGTCTCTTAGAATGGTGGAATAGTAGCAGCACTCTTTGTTATTTTGAAGACCAATTTCATGAGCTAACGTTTGATTATTGCAGCCTGGCTGATATGAACTAGCAGTTTGGTGTCTGAAGTGGAAGGAACTAAATGCTTCTTAGATCATCTGCTTTAGTCTGATCCCAAACTTCTGTAATCTTTCTAACGTGTGTAAAAAATACCCCCAAAACAAACAACCCCCCCCCTCAGATTCCCATGCACATAATACCAATTATTAGTACAACTGTCAGTTATAACAGTGGATATTTTAAAAATATTATCTAATGCAGTTAAATGAACAGACAGCAAATTCCAGTAAATCACTGTAAATGCAATTGAAATAATAGAATATCAGGGTTGGAAGGGACCTCTGGAGGTCATCTAGTCCAACCCCTTGCTCAAAGCAGGACCAATCCCCAATTTTTGCCCCAATCCCTAAATGGCCCCCTTAAGGATTGAATTTACAACCCTGGGTTTAGCAGGCCAATGCTCAAACCACTGAGCTATTCCTCCCCCCGTCTCTGTGTGAGAGCAGACATTATGGGAAATGTAGGACATTTTCATTTATTAGTTGTGTTCTTATGCAAATTTCTATTAAACACTACAATACAATACTTATGCAGAAATATATGGCTAAGAAGTGGTTAAATCTGATTTCCCCCCATGTTTACCCATGTTTTATTCTTTTGTGCTTTGTTCAGTCCAGTTTTTAAATGACCCTAGTGATGAGCTTTCCACCATTCTCCCTTGGGAGACTTTTCCAAAGTCTGTTAGAGATCATCATCAGAAAATATTTCTTAATATCCAGCCAGAAATTCTCATTACTCTTCGGGACTCTATGCTAGAAACATTTTGTTACCAACATGGTTTCAGTCATTTAGTGGACAGCACCCTAAATTACATCCCCCTCATCCTATCCAAAAATGCTCTTCCCTCTTTGTGGTATTAACATATATGTAAACAATTTATAAATACACCTCTACCTCTATACAACGCTTTCCTTGGGAGCCAGAAAATCGTATTGCATTATAGGTGAAACTGTGTTATATCGAACTTGCTTTGATCCACCAGAGTGCGCAGCTCTGCCCTCCCACCCCCCGCGAAGCACTGCTTTACCACGTTATATCCAAATTCGTGTTATATCGGGTCACATTATATCGGGGTAGAGGTGTATAATAATAATATAAAATGGAGTCCTATTTTATTAACTTTGTTATGCATGGTATGAAGTAGGGCATGCATTTGGAACTCTGCAGCCATTTTAAACTAAATGCTTTTATAGAATAGAATTTAGAATCATAGAGTTTAAGACTGGAAGGGACTGCCCGATCATCTAGTCTGACCTCTTCTGTATCATAAGCTGCCAAACACTCCTCAGCCCCCCCCATACCAACCCCAACAGCCAGAATTAGACCAAAAAGTATTACAGCTCTCAGGAGACTGAGCTATTATGTGCCACTGGCAGAGAATAAGGGACTGAGATGCATCAATGCCCAAGACCCCTATAATGGCAGGAAATCGATTGAGAGGTACCTAGATGATAAGTTTCTCTTACATTCATGGGACATTGTGGCCTCCCTCTGCTGGATAATTACTTTAACACCTGAAAACTCTTACATTTACACCAAATACTCTGGTGCTGATTAGATGATATGGCTGACTTGGTTGCTGTTACAGCCTGTGGGTTCAAATCCATTTGGAAATATGTTTACAAAAAATCTTAGATTTCCCCCCCTCAGTGTGATATGGATGAATTCATTCTCACTCCTTGTACAGAAACACAAATTTGGCGTAAAAAAAAATCACATGACTGTACAGTGATCTCTGCAGTACCAAAAATAGTAGAAGTCTCCATATAATCAGATACAGGAAGAAGTAAAATCCTCACCACTACCACCTGCCCCCTACTCTATACACACAGGAGCCCTCATCCAGCAACTGGATTCATATGAGTAGACTTTTGTAGCCACAGAGAGTTCCAGAGAAGTCCACTGGGGCTTTGTGCAGGTGCAGAGGTCCACTAGCACTTATCCTATTGCACTGCCAGTAGCTCAAAGGATGGGCTCATAAACCATGGTTAAAGGGAGAAAATTGTCATTTTTAATCTTGTTTAATAGTTTAATTCTTTTCTAACCTCATTATAAATTCCAGTTTGCAAGTCCTAAGCCAGCATGATTCATCATTTATAAGAGTTATGGGGTAGGTAGGTGTACAGAATTTAAATGTGGAGAAATTAACACATTTGAGGCCACATCTCCAAAAACAGCCACTCACCTGCATGAAAAGTTACTTGATTTGTATGTGGAACTGTATATTTTCAATGTGAAACTATTTGTTCACACACATGAGGTGGGGACAACCGAAGCATCTATTCTGGGAATCTAGCCCTCTGAGTCCTATCAGAGACAAATAGTAGTTTCTACATATTTTGTATGATGTCATAAACTGAAAGTCAAGGGTAAAGCATTGTAAAAGACCTCGGGAGGAGAGGAAAGTTTAAGAAAAAGGAAAGGCACTGTACTTTTTGTGCTTTGATATAGTTCCTGTACATCAGGATGCACTATTTTGTTTTGTTTTTCAAGTGATTGCAATAGCAACAGGAACTCCATTGCCTCATTTACCAGCATTTGCAGTAGCCAGTGCAGTTCTTACTTTCACAGTGATGAAATGGACTCAGGTAAGATTAAAAAATAATCTACAAATTCCTCTATTAGTTCTTCTGGAGATAGTTTTTGTTTGTTTTATTCACAGGCATGTCTGTCTTCGTCATAGTAAGTGGCAAGAGTGTAGCATTTCACTTCTGCTTAGTGTATGTTGCACTTTTACCCTTTCTATATAACAAAGCCAATTTTCCAATCCAGCTGAAAATACAGTGGATTAGTAAAAGATGTCAGAGACTCATTTTAACCAGCTTCCCACTTTGGCCTGGGCAATGCATTATGTTGCTCAAAAGAAGAGGAATTTTACATAAACAGGGAGTTCTGTCTCAGACAGGAGATAAGACTCTGAATACAAAATACCACTGTGTACAAATGCTGGGGAGAGTGAGACCTCAGAAAGACACATTCACCATAATATTCTATTCTATGTCAAGGCTGAACAAATTGAATTTAAATAATCATAGATGCAAATTCTTACCTATTTGCCACTGGATAGTTCCTTTTTCGTTTTAATGCCATATTTATCCCTCTTGAAAAACTACTGAACTATCAGAGCCATTTCATTAGCAATAGCATAAAGATTGTGAAATATTTGCAGGGTCCTTATAAAAATGTTATGTCAGTGCATTCAGTGACTGTGGTCTAGGTGGTATAAATAGCTAGCTGATATTTCAGTGATCTTGTCATTTTTCTTTCAGAGAACTGTGGTCTAGTTGGTGGAACACAGATCAGGGACACCTGACTTCTAGTTTCTATTCCCAACTTTTACAATATGGCCTGGGCATTTTGCTTAAAGTTTCTGGCCTTTAGTTTATAAAAAGGTATAAATAATACAATAGTTACCTACTTCACAAAGGGTGATGTGTGATTTATTGTACAGATGCCATTTTGTTGTTGTTGTTTACTTTTGCTACATTATAAAACTAGTCTACAAAAGAATCTCACAGATTAGTGTAAAGTGCTAAATACAGAAGGATCTAAAAGCTTAAGCATCAGCTCCTATGCATAGCAGAGTAGCCCAGATCTGTATGATTTTGAAAAGTATACTGAGCCCTGAAGTTAATTATGATTTAAAATATTTTACACACAGGTGATGAACTTCCCTTAAGTGTTCGCATTTCTCATGATAAACAGGACAAACTTCATAGCTGTTTGGAGCATCTTTTTGGTCAGGTATGAGATTTTTTTCCTTAGACTGCTTAACAGTATTGGTCTATATTCAAACCATCAGAGAAAAGCTGGCTGCCGCAAGTGGGGGTTTCCTTGCTGCTTCTGCTTTCCACTGTTTACTTGAATGATATATATTACTTTTTATCCTTCCCTGGGGCTACTAACCCAGAATTACTGAAGAGAACAGTTCCTTAGATTTATCTTAGCAAATTTTCTAGTCTTGAGTTGTTAGCTACAGCCAACATTTAAATTACCGTAATTACAAACAAATATAAAGTAATCATTTTTTCACTATTCCTTTTTTCTCATTCAGAGCAGATCTTTCTAAACATTGCTATGAAAAAGGCAAGCCACTCACAGAACTTTGATCCTAACAGGTAGACTCAATTGTCAATCTTCTGAAAGGACCAGCTGTAATGAGGGCCTTTGAACAAACCAAGTTCTTCACGCCAGGTCGAGGCCTGCAAGGTAACATTTAAAACTAACTACTAGAATCAACAGGTGGTACAAAGAGATACAGGGCACATCTGTATGAAAATAGAGTATTTGATTTGGATGTTAAAGAACAACCCAATCTTTTCTGTTCACGTTATATTCTGGAATAATTGCCATTCAAATTTTTTATTACATAGATATTACTGTTCTTAGCTAGTACATTTTCACTTTCCTTGCATAAGGCATTTAGGTTTTCTTGAAAGTTAAGCTGAAATTACAGCCTCTGAATTGAATATAAAATTGCTGAGGCTTTGAAGCAAAAATCAGTTTTAATATATTACAAGTGTTTTTCTGATTCATATTATTTCTGTTCTAGCAACTGAAGCACTTTCTGCTTACATTTAACTATTAATGCCTGACCTTTTCTATCTTTGTGGATATTTTCTTCTTGTAAAATTGTACTTCATAAACAATAAGCAACTCTTTGGTGTGAATTCTTATTCTAAATATTAATTATTTAAAATAATTCTAGGTGTAATTTGAGGCCCTGATCCTTCTGAGAGTTATGTATATGATTAACTTTAGGTCTGAATACATGCTTCTATATGTGTAGGTCCAAAGTTAATCATGTATATAAGTGTTCAGTCTAAACTTAAATGTGTGTGAAGTGTTTGCAGGATTAGAGCCATTTAGCAGGATTGATACACTTTTAAAAATTGCTACTGAAAGGCTTTTTGGGTGAACTGAGTTTGAAAAAAGACTGTATGGGAGATTGGGAAATACAACTGAATGTTGTGTGGGTAATAGAAATAATGCTACTGTGAAATGCTTTGGTTTCTGAGTTAGTGTAAACATATACAACTTTCTGCAAATAAAATGCATTAATTATAGTGGGTCATTGATCAGATCCTTAGCTTTCATAAATCAGCATAGTTCCATTGAAGCCAGAGAAGTTACACCCTTATATACCAGCTTGTTATCTGACCCTCTGATGCATCATGCCTTTCCACTCACTAACCCTGCAGTGAGTCTGCCCGGAAGTTAATACAGACATAGTGAGATTTCTTTCTAGCAGCTATTTTCATTTTTAGAACCTTTAAAGTTGTTTTAGGGAAAGATGGGTATGACCCACAGATGACATTTATGCACACCAATATTTATCATTGTTTTCAGACTGAATGCCTGGCAAAATTTTCCACGACAAACCATTCAGAAAACATTATTTAATTATAAATGTGCAACTAGTTGCAAGATATGAAATATCCAATATAAAGACCCCAAAAGATATCCATTTCACAAAGATGATTTAGAACAAGAACTAAAAAAAAAGGGGGATGTATATTCTGTGTGACAATGCAGCTTTATATAGATATACCATAATAATGTCAGGGATACTTTTAGTGATCTGAAGGCTAGTCTAGGTTAAACAGCCAAAATTTCTGTGTTAAGTAAGGAAGATTATTTTTCTGATAATTTTGGTATAGCTTATTGTCCACTATTATATGAATTCTTGAGTGGATGTGATAAAGGTTTAAAAAAGCCCTTAAACCATGAAACACGTAGTTGAATTCATGTGTTATTTAAATTACTTATTACTGATGTACTTTTTACTTCTTTACTTTACTAATTACTTATTGCTTGACTTTTTATACGTGTATTTAGTGAATTAAATTATTTGAAAAGCTATAGGTAACAGCAGTCAAGACAAAATTTCAGGAAATTGCAGGCACTTCTTAATGTTAAGACTATTCAACTCAGAAAGAAATACAGTGGGTTTCTGAGGATGTTTAAACTAAAGAGGTATTTTTTCCTTTGCTTAGCATTTCAGCAGGAAATGGAACCTAAGCTTAGCTGTCCAAAGAGATTACGACTTCACATCAAGCAAGACCCTTGGAACCTTCCCAGCAGTGTCCAAAATCTTGCACAGAATATCAGAAAATTTGTTGAAGGTCAGTAAGAAAAACGTAACCCTCAATAAACTCATAGCTAATGAGGGAGGGCGGAGGAAGGATATAACAGGTTTATGTTGTCTGTGAGGCCAGGTCTGCAGAGTAGCATGTAGCCAATAGGAAATTTCTAAATTCCAGCACAGCTTGTGATCTCAGTAGCAAGACTAATGGAGAGTAGTTTAAATCAGAGAGTCTCAAATTATGGGGTACGCCTCCCTCGGGAGGTGTGGGCCTGCAGCAGGGGAGGTGCCTGTTGCCTGTCTTTTGGCCAGGGTGTGGTGCTGCATGTCAGAGTGAATCCAGAACTCTGCTCGGGCTGGGAAGGGGCAGAGGGAGCCAGGGCTCCACCCAAGGAGCAGTGCAGGAATGGGGGCATACCAGGGAAAGTAGCTTGCAGGTGCTACCCTGCTCCACCCAGGGCTATGCTGCCCAGCGTGGCCCTGCCTGCTGCAGCGCAGCAGCTCTCCTGCTTCCCCATTTCCCCCCCCCCAGCATCACAGGACCTCTCATGCCCCCCATTTTGTTCCCATGCTGATGCCCAGCTCATATAGAGCTCCTCCATCTCCCCTGGTGCACCTCCCTTTGGCTGGAGCACTCCCTGCAGTATCCCAGGGGCTCTCCTCTATCCCCATGTGTCTCCTCTTCTCAGCCCTGCCCTGCAGTGGTGGTGTTGTGGCTCCCCTCCTTCTCCATGGTCCCCATCCCCATCCCAGCCCTGTCCTGCAATATCCTGGGGGATTCGCATCATTCACTGCAGAGCTACCACTCATTCCTGGGCAGTGGGGCTGGGAGAACTGGGATTACCAGAAGGGTTCTCTTTCTGGTCCTCTGAAGCTGTTCATTTCTGGGTCAGTGCCCCCATCAAGGCGGCAGCCCTTGTGTGAAGTGGGCTCTGAACTCTGCTGAGGTCATTGGTGTCACCTTCCTCCCCATTCCTGGGGAAGAGCCAACTGGGGTCAGGATCCCTGTGGCTGTTTAGGTCAGGTCTCAGGAGGATCCGGGGCCCTGTGAAGTTCTTGTTGGGGTGATACACTCCCTCCCCCATGGTAATAGTCTAGTTCCAGCTGGTGACAGCGGTGGTCAGTCCTGGCTACTAACTCAGTACCCTCTTCAACTTCTTGCTGCTCTGGACCTACATGGAGCTCCTGGTGCTTGCAGACTTGTGAGTGCCACACTCTGGCCCCCATTCTGCCTGGGAACCCTGCTGCCTCCACATGATGGGCCACATGCACTAAAGGGGATCCCTGTTCCCTGCCTGTAGGCCCAGCACCCGTGAGACCTTGTCTTGGGCCCCAGAGAAGTGAGGGTTGGGGGAGGTAAGTAGGGATTATGATGACCTAAAATGTTTGTGCAATTTAATCGCTGCTGCGATTTGTACTGTTTGTAACAGAAGTGCAAGATAACACACTTGTACTCTTGTATTTATATTGATCAAAGCCCTTCTACTTTATTACTTGTATCTTTGCAAAATATAGGATTTTCAGTTATTTGTGTTGTCTTAATAAACTGTGGAGAGGTGCAGTGTTCTTTTTATTAGCTTAGGGAAGTTCACTATGACAAAATCTGAGAACACCTAATTTAAATAATATCTCGGAGGTAGCTAAGGAGAGATGCCAGCAGAAGCTTTGGAGGCAAATGGGAATATTGTCTTCTCTGAGTAGCCGGCGCAAGGGGAATTTGGACGCTTAGATGAAGATGCTGAGTGATTCAAACCCCTATTGAAGTTAGTGGTCCTGTTTCTGTTCCCACTGAATTCAGTGAGAACACCGACATTCAAAGGGAGCATAGAAGGCCTAATTGAACTTGAGTGTGCATTTCACAGGACATGTTCAGCACTTTTCAGGACCTGCCTTTTTGATTGTGCTGTTTGATAGGGAAGCAATGGAAAAGAGAAGCTTAAGGGATTTATAAAACTATGCAGTGGAATATTGCAACATGCATCTCTTTGTGGGAACCAAAGCCAGCTGTAGGTTGCTTCAGTTTGAGGTTAAAATTATTTGTTTGTACATTTAGCAGCTTCATTTTATTGGCTAATTTCCTTGATATCCCATGATGAAACTGCTCTTCAAACTACCAAAAGAATTTGTGATATGTTTTATAAATATAAACTTTAAAAACCATAAGAATGGCCATACTGGGTCAGACCAAAGGTCCATCTAACCCAGTATCCTGTCTTCCGACAGTGGCCAATGTGAGGTGTCCCAAATAATACCGTATGGTATTTCTAAATTTAGATCCTCCGAGGTCTTCAGACACTGTGATAGAAAAGTCCAAAACCACACAAATCTCTCCTCCATTTGGTACAAATCACTAAGGTCAAAATCTGTAAAATCTAGAAAGCCAAGTCAACAAAATACACATTTATATTGTAATGGCTGCCACAGAATCAACAGGGAACAGACTGTTTTCAAAAAAATCTAGTTCCTAGCAAAAACCGAAACCCAGGTACATTCTAGCATTAATCATGGATGGTTTTGAAGAAGTGAAAACTTAAGTCTTCACCAATCGTTTGACACCCTCTAAGAGTCCGTCAGAGCTCAACAGGCCATTCTGATGTGACTAGTTTGTCCATAAATGACTTAAATAAGCTTATGCCCACCTCAAAATTGGTCCTACTGTGTCCTAGGAATCTCACCAAGATCATTCAAATAAATCTTGTTTTAAATTTATTGGAAAAGTTACTTCCTTTTTTAGAGAGTTTTAAAGAAAGGTTCAACGGGGTCCAAATGACCTCCTGCTTCTGCATAATACAGAGTTTCTCTTTTCACAACACTGTCATTAAATAACAGTGATTTTATTAGACAGATCTTTGGTGCCTGGCTGGACAATTAACAAAAGCATAGTGTGTCAAATTGACATTCTGCTGCAAAAATGCAGATTAAAAAAATCAGTTAAGAATTTATTAAATCTTTATTTTTAATGACTAATTTTAAAGTAAATGTTGTGCTTGTGAAAGATGCTGAGTTATGACATCTGAAGAGTGAAACCCTCTGTCCACACACATGCCTCTCAAGCCCAGGAACATGAGCTTCCTTATATTGCCCTACCAATGTGTCCCGAGCATGGTCTGAGGGGATAACTCTGGAAGTGAAAAGATAACCCACTCTCTGCCCATTCCGTCCTTGGCATCTGATAATTATCTAGTAGAAAATTGCAGCAACCAGCTCTCCTGTGACTTCTTTAACCAAATTAATCATTTGTTAATAAATTTAGTCACTACTGTCTTTGCCTGGATCCAATTAAACAAGTCCGTTCCCCATCGTCAGTCCCCTCAGCCATGTGCTCTAATTATTTTTTTCATTTTGAATTTGAAAAAAAAAAAGTTTTAATTGATTTCTCAAAAATTATTCTAATATCTCATGAGTGTTCATAAAAAAACACTCAGGGGATCCTGGGCAAGACCATCACTCCTTTCCTTACACCAGGTAATAGGGGTGGTGTGATGAAAAGGGGCCCAAAGAGCCAATCTCCCCATGAGCCTGGCACAGGCACTGTCAGAGTCAGCCATAAGGCTGGCTTTGGAGGACCCTTTGCAAGTCCTGGTGAAGTGGGTGTGTCAAGGGTGTGGCTGCAGCACACAGTGTTGCAAGATTCTAGGCAAGACTGTGACCCCTAGGGCAGCCTGGGGAAGCTGCTGTTACTTATACAGCCCTAGGAGCCTGTCTAAGTTGTGTTGTGGGTGTCTCCAGACCCCAAGTAGTCCAGGATCAGGAGAACACAAAGCAGGCTTAAAGCAACTTTCAGAGTCCCTTCCCCTGGGCTGCAAGTTTTGTGCTGTGCCTCTGAGTTTCATGCCATTTGTTGTCTCCACAAATGATCAAGGCATTTAGCAGACAGACTAGCCAGCCTGCAGTTCTGTTTTGGGATATTTCTGACTGAAACTAATATGAGGTTTGAGCAGCGAATTTAAAGTTACTTGACCTCTCCCTTTTGCTCTTTTATTTACCTGATTCAGAAAGAACAAAAATTGGTCCCTAATTCATTTTTATATTTTGCATTTTAAGACAAAAATTATTTCAAGCCAAAAGCTGAATTGAATTTCCTCCCAGATCTGTGTTTCAATGATCAGGCACAAAACACAGGAGTCAGTCAAAAAAAATTATTAATGTTTTTTCTATTTAGTGTTTAAAAATATTTTATATTTGCGCTCGATGTGGCTGGCTGAAAGTGTTGCCATACAACTTAGCAAGCCCATCCTTGGTTAGGCCATTAGTGTACTCTTTAAATGTGTGTGTTCAATAGAATTTCAGTTGTAAGTAGGTGAATCTTCATATTTCTACATAAGCAGAAGTTAAGTGACTATATTTAATAAGGCGAAAAGAGGACATTTTTGTCTCTTGAGTCAGATTTAGGTTTCTGTGGTAAGTAGATGAGGAAGCCCTCAAAGCCTATTTGGTTACCACCTAAAGAAATGTTTAGTGGTGAATAGTGGCTATAGTGGTTGAAAACTTGTTTAACCATTATTGATGTTAACTAAGTGAATCCTTTTATTGAAAACTGACTCCAGTGCTTAGATTTTAATAGAAAACTCAGAAGCAGTTGTATTTTCTTGTTGATAGTTCTGTTGCCTTCAATAACATGCTGTATTAAATTAGAATGATTCACTATTTAAAGCAGATGGAGATGTAGGAACCCCATAAAAGACACGTTTAACTTTTACATTGCAATGTTTTTTAATTTCTGTTGTGTAATAAATAGGAAGAAAAGAGAAAATTCTTAATACCTTCAGGATGGACTTTATAGTCTGTCAATTTTATTATTATTATTGGAATTGGACGAACACGTCAAAATATCCATGAATATGCGCTCAGATTAAAAAAATGATTTTCCTGGGAAGTAAATAAAAAAAGTTCTTGTTGACCTGATGTATAGAGGTCTGGTTTATTATAGGCTCATCAATGATCTGACTAGAAGGTAATCAGGTTCTTATCCTGAAATCTGGTCACAGAATTAGAGAATGTAGAGAATTCAATAATTTGTAAGGACCCTTGGGGAGTATG